TATTCAATCAAGTAGGCCAACGCCCTCGTAAATAGCATTCACAGCTACGATCAAGAGAGCAGACGTGGCCCTTTTCATAAGCAGCCTGAACAAACGACCTTTGGTCGACTATCTGATCTAAACAATGCATAGGCTCTTCATGCCAGGCTCTGGCGAGTCGAAAACGCGAATCGGTATCGTTCTAATCTATGGCTCTGCATAGTCTTTACTTATACGTTATGTCTGTTTATGGCATTTATTCCTCTGCCATTTCACCCATTCTCGCCAGGCCTCCCCCTAAATGCTTAAGAGTCTGGATTTGGGGTTGAGCCTTATACATAGGTTTCGGATTTGGGAGTGAGGTTATCAGTGTTGTCTACTTCAATTATACCTGAAGTCACGGCCAGTAAAAAACTTAGATTTTACGATATAATACTCCTAGTCTATCCTGCAACTTGATCAGCCATTAGGACTGGGATTGGTTCGTCAGTGTCCTCGGTGTTAATTATCCGATTCGTTTACAGCTGTTAGCTTCCAGTATCTACCATTCTGCGTTTGTGTTTTAGGCTTTATTGGTGTATTTAAATAAAATAATGACGTAAATGCAATTTTATCTTTAAATTGCCGAAACAGCTATATGTTAGTTCAGCTGACTTCTCTCATGAAACCCCTCCTAATACTATTCCCATATTGCAGCGGTCCTAGGCATCTAATGATTTAAGTAAGACCACACATCCATTCGCTGTCGTCAAACTACTTTAGAGCAAAGTGGTTCATTCGAGCCGTCAAGTCCAAACGAAAAAGGATTCAGAATATGCATCACAAAAGCGTTTTTGAGACAGATTTATTTTAATGAATAGAGCTGAGTAACCTATTAAAAATGCCTAAATTACCGCAGATGAAGATACCGCCACCGCTATGTTGCCATTCCAGAGTGACACTAAAAGTACGAGTTAATAAAGGATCATTTAGTTTATACCATTCCGCGGAGCTTATTCTCACCTAATCCGATTAGGAGCCCTCAACGTCAAGAAAGTACATCTTCGTATCTCACCTCTACGTGCATATATACCTGCACTTAGTCCCTTAAAGTTGGCTAAATCGGCTTAACGATGCAACGCTTTTGAAGGGAGCCTCGAAGAAGGTGATAGTCATCAACCTGCGATATCCGGTCCTGTTCACAGAAAACGTGGTGCAGAAACCATTTAGTCGATCGCCCAAAACTGATCGCATTTTTATTATTCCTTTAAGGCTCCCGTTATGTCCACTTGGGTCAACCCATCCAGATAATCTTAGATCATCCGCTCGTAACTGTTATGAGTAATCTTTTAGAATTGTAGACCCATTCATTACCACAAATTTTGTAGTAGCGGGCTTGTGGTGACTCACTTCACATAGGCAAGCATGTCCGAAAGCCCACCGCTGCTAACGCGTACGTCTGCACTTAAAGGCTCCCCCGGCAACAGCCAATCAGGTCCCTCAAAGGCTAGCCTCTCTCAGTGGCGAATAGGGACGCAGCACGCCGTGGTCGATGCAGTCTTTCCGGCCAATAACCTTTGAGGCAACCAGACAATGCCCGTTCTCGCTGCTGCCTGCTGCTGAAAACCGCACTTGGACTGCGGCTGGCTCTCTTGCCGGTTGTAGGCTATCCAAGTCAATCTACTCTCATCTATTCTCCTCTACCTTGTGTACACAATACATTCTTCCTACTACTTTGGCCTTCATCGACTTCTCCTGCAATAAGTAGTCATGGTCTGAAGATCGCAGTTGCACGGTTTAACTCACTTAACCCCCTGCGATAGGCTTATCCCTTGAAATGTTAACCAAGAGTCTGATATGCTTTCCCTTAGAAATGATCCTTTAGGAGGCGTAGCGAGACGGCTAGTTATGCAGCATAATCTCAAGAGATTTCTGCAATAAAAGAGTACCAAATTCAAAAACGTAGGTCAGTCAAATTGACTTCTTAGGTAGTGTGGAGTATTTACAGTGATGATAGATACACTTATGCATAGAAAAAGTTAATAAAAATATGTAGTTGGAACTCATTTACCAGCCATTTGTGTTTTTGGATTATGAACTTGAAGAAATAATTTGTTTCTGCTTAGATGCAGGTTGTAATAATGGGCTTTTAAAGACAAAGAAATGTTCATTCTTTGAGTATTGTAACTGGGCGTTTAGAAATGCTGCTTATGGATTATATAATATGGTTCTCATTCATTGGCCAATACGTTAAGCGCCATATGAAATCTTCTTAATAGCGCAGAGAAATGGACGAATCGTTGAAGTCGCAAAATGTTTGCTGGAGGACGCAGGTGAACACCCCAGGGCCGCACCGCGCTTTATTTCTTTGCGTTGCCTTCTTTTGATGCCATATGTAGCTCAGCAGGATTTGCAAAGCATGTTTAGCATGATCTCAAGACATTTAAGTCATATCAGAGTGCAGTTCCTAAGCTAGGTTCTGTCATACCGTCTGCAAAAAGCATATTTTACAAAAATGGCTATCTAAGTAGTGGGTATTGGTCTCATTAATTCATAATGTCCTTATAGAGTAAATATATTTAACAAAAAATTGCACACAATAATCTCTCTTGTACTCGTCTTGTGGCTGTTTACCCTTTCTTCAAATTTTATATTTTAAAGAAGATTACATTATGGTTTTAAAAAGTTTCTTCTTATGGGTTTTTTAAGACTATGAAATGTTTATTCATAATGTTTGTTCATAATATCGATTTTTCATTTATCGTTTTTAAAGTATACAAACTGATCCACATCCACTGCCAAGGGTTATGATACCGACGTGATCTTTTCCTTGTAGTGTAGAAAAATGTGAGACTTTTTGAGAAAGTGTGTACAACACGTAGTTTAAAAATACTCTATTAAACTGATACGGCTGGGAGAGTTAAAAATTATTCAGCAATAAAGGAAGTTTTTTAAAACCGAAACATAACCTCTCATCAAGTATAATATTAGAATAAGGTCTATATTTCTACAAAGCGAGTACAAAAGAGACTATTTATGTGCATTTTTTTCCAATAAGATATATTTTGATTTATAAGGACGTTGAAAATCAGTAAGAAAAATGCATACTATTTAAGCATCCATTTTGTATAAAGTATACTTTCTGCAGGCGGTCAGAAAGCAGCTCGTTCATAATCTAACAACGAGCCTGAAATAGCTTGAGATAAGGCTGCACAATAATCAGTCTTTCAACTCTGCTTAGTAATTTTTCCCAATTCAAAACACATTTCCGAAGTTCGATTGATGTTTCATTAAGCAGGGTATCTACTGTATATGGTATATCCAGGATGCGCAGGCGAAAGGCGTTCGGTCGTAATTTCAGGTGTAATTTGAAGGTTGCCGTCCCATTCAGTCAAAATCATAATCTACCGAAAAACCGGTAGTGAAGACTTTATAGTTTCCGAGCAGGACGTGGAAACAGGAAAGGCCCATAGTTCAGGTGGCTTTGGGCTAAATTCCATGGAATTTTCGGTTGGGTTGAGAGTGAAGGGAAGGGCAACGATTAGGGTAACGAGACTAGCAGAATGTATTTAGCTTTATACAATTTTGCAACCTAGTATTCAACTGCAAATGGTCATTGCTTATTAATGAGATAAATAAACTGTCCAATTAACTCTCGATCTAGAGTTCAATCACGAAGCACCTAGTGGACACTGGCTATACGGTCGACCAAAGGACTGCATTTAAGGTCGTACTTCGAGCGACGACCGAGCAGCTGAATCATGTGATCAACCTCGCATTGCCGTGCTAACGCTTGAAAAACCCATTCCCTCCCAAGCCTCCTCCCTCCCCCTGTATAACCAGCTGCTGCCCTGACAGCCCCCATCCCCTTTAAACACGCTTTGCAGACTTTCACTGTAACAGGAACCACCTTGCTGTGATAATAACCTCCCCTCTCCTTTAGCCCCTCACAATGCACCCACATCTAAGACTAATACCTCCTAATCTATCAACTTATGAAGTTTCACCCTTCTTGGTCAACATTGAATTAGGCAGTTATTTGATCTTATTTAAAGGCAATGACTGTTTGCAGTTAAATAAGAAGTCGCGAAATTGTATGACGTCACTAAATTCTGCTAGTATCGTTCAAATTTCTTCCGGGAAAACAATGTTCGGTCAGGGTTACGGGGCAAATTTTAGTTCGGCTTCCTGTTAGGATTGAGACAGGAAAATTTTTAACCTTACTGGAAATTTGTACAAAGCCAACTAGTTTATATGAGGGCATTCCTATCCCTGTGTTTTGTCAGCGGCTGCATAGAAGCACTTCCAACCAAAATACAAACCTTGGCTCTCTCAATAACATGCTCGAACGGCTAGAACTAATCAGCGTATTCCATGCTCCCAGTGCAAGATGGTCATTCAGTGTTATAGCTTGCGAAGCATTTTCGCTTAGAAATTGAGAACCCTAAAGTTTGGCAGTCCAAAAACAATTTTTTTCCTTTGATAATAACCTCAGGTAGTGAAGCATGGAACCCAACTTGCCCGCATCTTCGTGAGAAACGCGGATCGGTTTCACGGTTTTCTCCCCTAAATCCTAAGATGAAGAAAACTTCACCTTCAATCCTGTACTTGATTGAGGCCAAAATTCTTGAACCTCAGCCTGAAATTCCACACATTTTAAAGAGATTCCGCAAGAAAATGATTGACCACTAGAGCCGCCGCTTGTAGCCGTAGCTTATTTTGAGAAATTCGTCTTCTGGACAAGCCGCCCTTTTCAGCACAAAAGAACAGACGTGAGTATACAAAAGAAATTTTACTGTGTTCTAAAAATATTGTC